GATAAAGCTAAGCGGTAGCGCAGTGCCAGTGCCGTATACTCACAAGTCATCACCCGGCTTTTATTTATATATATTATTTTATATATACTTGGCGTCGCGCCGCTACCGCAGCGCTTGATATTATGTCGAGAAAAATAATGGATGGTCAACTCGACAGATTTTATTAGCTCTTGATAATTGAATAATTAATTTTTAAGTGGGAAAATGTTATAAAAGCCTCGCCTATTTAACGACATCTCCATTTTGATAGAGAAGTTGATATCAAGTTATACTGGCATCTTGTATTGGTTATTGTTTAATACAATGTTGTTTGTAAATATATTGATTTGCTTGGCAATTGTATTTATAAGTTACTTTTTTTGGAAGTTCTGCCAAAAAGTGTTTTTTATTAGAAAATTAGATGGTATACCGGGACCAAAAACATTGCCATTTATTGGTAGTTTCTATCATTTTCTGACAAGTTATGAAGGTAAGAACAAATAATATTAAGGGTAGAAAATAATTTAAATAATATTTAAAAAATAGTATAAAAACATTTAATTATATATTAAATTCTGTTCTTGATATTATTTGTTATTATCTGATTTTTATAGATATATAATTATATTAAACCTAGATCGAGGGTTTGATATGTTGTTCCACCGATTAGTAGTGACTTGCTTCTTCAATCTTTGCTCTAAGTTATATGATGCCTTTTTATAAGTACATTTTTACCAGTATCTTCTTAGATTATTTAATTCCTTATTCCTTACTTCATGTTAAATTATTCTACTATCTAAATGATATTAAGGTGATGCTGGAATTGTTTACCGATGAAACATAATTTTTGTACAAGATTTCGTATATATTACTTTTCGAAAATCCCTTTTCAAAAGTACAGATAATAACGCGCGCATGCAAATAAGAATAGTATATAGATAAGAATGCGAATGAAATTATTACGTAAGAAAAAATTTTTGAGAATTACAGTTTTTTTATCGATAGCTAGTTTCAATAACTCGTACAACAAACAATATTTGATTGGTATAAGAATTTTATACTTTGTATGTATAAAATAAGCATCAATTTGGAGCTTAAAAGAATAATACTACGCTTTTATTAATAATTCTATATGCTTTTATATATATGTGAGAAAAGATTGTACAAAAATGCGTGTGTATATTTATGTGTATATTATGTGTATATTATGTACGATAAATGTGTAAATGCATGTGATATTGCAGATGGGACAATAAACATAGATACATCAATATACTCTACTACATCAATATCACACGCATACATACGCACAATTGCCGATAAAACAATGACCACGTCGTCGAGTCGCTTTAATAGAGCTTAGTCTAGAGACCAAATTTTTATGCTATTTTGCGAATTTTTTAAAAAAAAAGTATAAAGTTTTTTGGAACGAAGTTTTGGCCTCCATATTTGTACATATTTAAAGTATGTTTCAAAATATTTGTATTTAAAAATAACTCACAAGTGCTGTATACAATATATACTGAGGTCATGAAAAAAAAATTAGTCCACGGCTCCCATAATTCCGACTTCTTCTCTCTTCTGCTCATTTAAAACAAAAAAATCAAAGAAATTCTTAATTAATTAGTATGAGTTTGGTTATACCAGGTACTAGAATAAAAAAAAGTAAAAAACTATTGAAAATTTAAAGATTGACGCTATTTTACAAATTAAGTTTCGACTTTTGCAATTTTTTTCACCATTAAAAGATTATAAAAATTAAAAAAATATATATTTTGACTTGATTGTAGTGGGGGTATAGCCACGCATATGATGAAAAATGAAAATGTGTGCACAAGCCCGATTTGATTGGTCAATTGGTTTTCAAGATATCATAGGAGCCAATTTGAAAAACGTGCTTTCGAGAAAAATGCATTTAAAGTTTTTTGTACTGATTACATAAAGATCGAGACCGCTCTTTATCACGAGCAATAATTTTGTTAATTTTGCGAGTCGGGCTAAATCCTTTTGCAGACATATTTTCTTTGCAAAATATGTAATAAAAAAAATTCATTTTTTTGACTCGCTAAACTAGAATACCCCGTTAATACTAATTTATGCTTCTATCTTAACCGTTTTCTTAGATCTGTTCTACAATACGTCGTATATCAGGTCGTAAGCCACAAGTTGTAAGAATTGACTAATCACAGTCGAATATGTAAAAAGAATTAATATTCGATTGTAATTGGTCAATTCTTCGGGCTTACAACTTACGTCTTGATATACGACGTATTGTAAAATGGGCCTTAAAGTTAATACTAAATTAATCTTAAGGACTGGTTTATGCTTCCCTAGACATTCAAACTGTGCATGCGCATATGTAAGACGAAACGTAACCGCAAACTAAAACGATGTGATGACAGATGACGAGATTGCTACAGATGACAGCAGAAATAATTGGATCTATTATTTCAAACCACATCAAATTGTTGCACACATTTAATTAACTTTGCGATTGACATTTTACTCTTTTCTATTTTATGCGCATGCGCTTCACGTCATTTTCATAAGGGATTAGGACTATCTTAAAAGATTGGAACTTTCTGAAACTAATTATAAGACTAAGGCCTTAAACACAATGAAAAGGAAGAACAGGTAACAGAAAATAAGAATTTCAACCTATTAGAAACCGTATATTCCATAATATACGCTTTCTGATAAATTGAAATTCTTATTCTCTATTGCTTATTCCTTATTCGTTTTCATTGTATTTAAGGCTTAAAATTACTGTTAAGACTGGGAAAACATAAACGATCTTATTTTCTCTTTTTTGATAAATCGTAAAGTAGTGGAGGATTTGTCGATTTAGTTTACTCACTCTACCTGTCCACGAGCGCCTTACTAGCTTTGAGTACCGGACACCTTGTATATAGTAATAAGTACTCTTTTAAAAACCGTCATTAAAATATACTAAAATTTTTAGATTTTGGAAAAAATGCATTAAAGGTTCTGCAAGATTATCCATCCTTTTGTCAAGTTTGGTTATTCAGCAAGTTATTAATTGTAATATCCGAAATAGATACAGCAAAAGTAAGAAATGATTTTTGATTCTAATATAATGCTTCTATTAAAATTTAATAAGTATCTACTTTACATTATTTATACAAATTGTATATATGTATATGTCCCAGATAAAATACGCTGGCACATATGTTTTGTACTATATGTTTCTTAAACGTATCTAATGTTTTATTATAACCATTCACAAAACGATCAAATATAAAACCAATATGTGCTTCTTTAACATGTAAGTATAAGTATATACTTATATGTTTTAAATATAAAATTTTGACATTATAATTATTACATCGACCAATTAACACAAATTAGTTTTATAATTGACGAAATTTATGTTACTTGAATAAAATAAAATTACGCATGACATTACAAATATGCAATTAAGAAATAACTAATTTATAATGTTGTAGATTGTCTTATACAGCAAAGATTGTTTAGATAAATCTACGCTCTATAAATTTATTCCTCCATTTTATGGAATGGGATTATTCACTGCTCCTGGTAAGAGATATTTAAATACAACAGCATAACACTCAACTAATTGCTGGTTTAAAACTATATAATTACTTTTATTGTTAGTAATTCAGAAAGTAAATTTAAAAGTAATTTAAAGAAATAAAATATGTATAAATATATGTGTTTAAAGAAATTAAATATGTATACATCTTCTTCATTTCTTTATAATTATTTATATACACCTCGTACTATACATATAATATGTTATAATATTGAAAGTTTACTGTAATTGATAATATAAGTATTAATATTTACTTTTATATCATATTCTATTTACGTTATATGTAATTCCAAATAGATATTGTTTAATATTACTAAATGTTAATAAAACTTCACAAATTTTTATTAAAACTTTATACTAATATTTCTAACATTAACTCAGTTTTAAAATTATGATAGTATTTGTTATATATTTTTAGTCATTATAATTCTATATTATAATTATTTCAGCATCCTTATGGACTCGAATAAGAATAATGGCTGCACCAACATTTAGTTCACCCATGCTGCAAGGTTTCTTTAATACATTTATTGAACAATCAGTAACACTTACAGATGAATTAAAAAACGTTGGGTTACATGGAAATGAAATTATCTATCGAGATTATATAGCAAATTGTGTTTTAAGAATTGCATGTGGTAAGATAATATAATTTAATAAATTTATAAATTATTAATAATTATGAATATTTTAAGATGTATCAAACGCAAAAATTCCAAAGGATTAGAAGATATTGATTCATTAACAATATAACATTTTTACAACTAACTTCGAGAACACCTTTTCGCTGTCATGATTGAATCTTTTAAGGAGAGGCTCAGATGTGGTAATTTTAGAAAAATCTGAAACTTATGGTACGTGAAGTGTATCACTTAGACATTATTTTGACCAAGCAGTAAGACGCACTTTTTCAGCCAATGTCGAGAAAATTTATTTTATTTTAATACTTATATCATTTCTATTAAAAAGTAATCAAAAGTAATCAAATTTACAGTAATCAACGGATATTCAATGTACATATGAAAAACGCACGTTTCATTTACAATGTAACAAAAAACCTGCAATAAATAAAACCCAATGCAACGAGAGCAAGCAAATTAAACCCAACGTAACAAAGATCCAAAATAAAGTATTTTTGTGATTTTGGAGATTAGGAAAAAATGGAATATACAAATAATGTGTAATATTATTTATTGTTTAATTGGTATTGGTTACTGTATATTGTACACTATTTCATACGTCAGCTTTATAAGTATCGCATAAGCCTGAATGATATTTGTCATAAAAGCAGGGGAAACACAACGTTTCACAGCACATAGAACACATTATAAACGCAGCTTTGCCACATGAGCAAGGTTTTTTGAGGCTACTGATGGCAAAGCATGCTTGTTATTTGTCAATAGCTTAAAAAAACCTTGTGCATGTGGCAAAGTTGCGTTTATAATGTATTCTATGTGCCGTAAAACGTTGTGTTTCTCCTGCTTTTATGACAAATATCATTCAGGCTTATGCGATACTTATAAAGCTGACGTATGAAATAGTGTACGATATACAGTAACCAATACTAATTAAACAATAAATAATATTACACATTAAAATAAAATAATTTTTCTCGAGATTGACTGAAAAGTGCGACTTACTGCTTGGCCAAAATAATGTCTAATTGTAAGTAATACATTTCACGTACCATAAGTTTCAAATTTTTCTAAAATTACTACGTCTGAGCCTCTCCTTATTAGATACCTAATAAATTCTATATGAATTTTTCCGAACTCGATGTACAGTCGTTAAACTACGCGCCGATTAAATGTTCGAAACTTGAAACGCAATTATTAGCTGAGGCTGGAATAGAAATATCATTTTGATCTTCCTAATCAATTGATGCTTATAAGCATCTTAAAATACTGAAAAGAACTTATTGCAAAAAATATTACTCAGCCAGGATATTTTTAACGAACGAACATTTAATCGGCGCGCAGTTTAACGGCTGTACATGGAGTTCAGAAAAATTCATATAGAATTTATTAGGCATC